AGTGTATGTATTTATCGACTCTCAAGTGAATTTACCAAGGCAGTTTATTTGAATCGATTTGTGTGTAATAAAGCTCTCAGTTTGTTTTTGAAGTATTAAAAGAATTACTAAAGTTTTATTAATATTTTTGGAAGAATAAGATGTAGCAACAGAAAAAGAATAAAGTATAAAGATTCTGTTCTTGTTCATGAAGATGTAAGAGGAACGTTGTGCTTGCATTTTTAGGTGATGAACAGAAAGAAGACAATATATATATGCGCTGGATATTTGTCCTGCATGAAATAACCACGTGTAGGAGAGAATCATAGTGACCGAACGAAAAGAATTGAATTAATCTTTCGTATTGTCTCATTTTATTCGTAATATATAAACCATTATTTTGAAAATAAAACATCAATATGCCTCATTATTATTGTCCGTGTGGTTCTCTCCTAGTTGGAGGTACCTTTACAAGATCATTGAAATCTCCTTGTCTACGATTGTTCATTTCAATTAGAACAATGAAATATATTTCTCCAGAAGAAAAAGTTTGTGATTCTTGTCGTGGTGCTTATTATACTTGGAAAAACAAGAATTCTGAGTTTGGAAATATTCTTGCACGTGTAGAACAAGAGTTGTTGGATGTTGAAAAAGTTACTAACACCGATTCGGTAGATATAAATAGTATTTTTTTAGCGAAAATCCATGCATGATTTTTTTTTGACTGAGTAGAATAACACGATGGATATAAATCAAGAGGATATGTCTGATCCAATATCTGGATCAGATCAAAATTTAAATGAAGTTTTAAAAAATGAAACCATTACCTTGCCGATGAATTGTACAGGTTCAGGACACACGTGAGAAAAATGTTTTGTTATGAATCAATGTTCTAAATTATGGAATTATAGAATTTGTTGTGTCTGTCGATTGGATATTAAAGAACATGCTAAAACTATTTCATCTGAAGATCGTGACTTAGTTCTGTTAAAGAAAAATGTTTTTATACCAGAGGGAGCAAGATGTTGTTCTGTTCATATGATAAATCATCAGTTAACAACAGCATCTATTGATAGAGTTGCACCATTATCAATACAATATAAAAAATTCAATTCGAGTGATATTCAAGTATTAATAACTAAATGGCAAATGCTATTTGAAAAAAAAAAGCGTTTAGATTTTGATAATCTTCATTCTTTATCTGATGATGAGTATAAAACATTTACAAGTCTTTCAAAAACTCAATTTGATGATCTAATTTTTCAAATATCCATGTCTAAAATTCGTAATTCTAGTAATAGATCAATCCGTACTGCAATTGCTATTTTGTTATGCAAGCTTCGCCTCGGTCTTTCAAACAAAATGTTAGCTATTTTATTTCAACTACCAGAGAAAAAAGCAATATCTCGAGCTCTCGAAAGCGCTCGAGATGCGTTAATGACCGAGTTCGTTCCATATAATTTAGGATTTAATCATATAAGTCGTCGTGAAATTATCGATCAACATACTTCAGCAATTGCTAGCCAGTTGATGTGTGGTGATGAAGCTGATAAAGTAATTGTTGTTGCTGATAGTACATACATATTTATTCAAGTAAATAATCATTATTTCGTTTTGTAATGCTATAGTTACCGTTTTTGTTAGAAATCTAGAAATAATAATTTTCAAAGAAAAACATATAGTCTCCATAAAAAACGTTCATTATTAAAACCAATGATAGTAGTTTCAACTACTGGCTACATCATCGACTGTATTGGTCCTTTCTTCTCTGATTTTTCCAACAACGATGCGTCAATTATGAAAAATATTTTGTTTCGAAATACAAATAAAATTATAGATTGGTTAAATCAGGTTCGATCTGTCTCATATATTAACATAAAGACACTTCCTTTCTAGGACGACGTTGTTGTTGTTGATAGAGGATTCAGAGATTCAGTTGATATTATGGAAGGGCTCGGTTTAAAAGTAGCTTTACCACCATTTCTTAACGGTCGTCGCCAATTTACAACAACTGAGGCGAATCAATCAAGATATGTCACTAAAATCAGATGGGTAGTTGAAGCAGCAAATGCTCGAATTAAACAATTTAAATTCTTTTCTAATACAGTACAAAATTCTTCATTACCTCATCTCGAAGAGTATCTTTCAATTGTATGTTCCATCATCAACCGATATCAGTCACCTATTAAAACGTCTACTCCCGAAGACCTTGAAATTGGGCAAAAAATGATAAGTTTACGTAATAAAAAGAAAAATTTCGAAATGGTAACGTTAACTTCTATTAGAAATTGTTGTTCAGGTAGCATGTTATTTCATTTTTTAGTTTCTTGAAAAAAATAATTTGAAAAAGCTAACATCAAAATGGGAAATAATTAATCATACCAACATACTCGATGAGTTTCCGATCTTGTCTGAAAATGACATAGTAAATAACATTACTCTAGGTATTGAAAGTAGATTTAAAATCTATTTAATAAAAGCTTGTTCTTCGTTTTGATAAGGTGTATTCCAACTTAAACGTGCTCGATCATATGCCGAAGAAAAAACTTCAACAACAGATCTTACTGGACCTGTTGATTATACTATGTACAGATGTAAGGAATTTCCAGATATAATACGCATTCCAACCCGGTCGGCTCATGTCAATCGGTTAACACATAATCCAATCATTCAATTCACGTCAAATGATATTCTAGAGTGGTGGTGTGATTGCCCTACTGGAAATGGCATGTTAGGTTGTTGCAGCCATATCGCCTCCGCAATTTGGTTTTTGTCCTTTGAACGTTGGCAATCACACAATCGTCAAATGCCGTCAGGCGATTTCATTAACTTAGCTACTGATGCCAGTCTGTTGTCTGATTTTTATGATTCAACAGATGATGAAGATGGTACCAATTAATATAGGTCATTGTTTTGAATCGAAGAATTGCAGATGTTGTTAGTTTTGAATTGCATACTTCTTTCATTCTATAGAAATCAGTTCATGAACATTTCTTTGTATTCATATTCACGCTTCATTCCTACTTTTCCATTGCGCTCAGAGTGCTTCAATTTAATTAATCGAGCTTTTACCAAAAACCTCTACACCACCGAATACTTTTCACCTAACTAACCGCGAAGATATAGAATAACAAGATGGATAGTGTAGATTAGACTATGAAACCATCTCTTGTTGTTAGTAACTATATACAGTTATTCTATCAATACCACACATACAGTTACCTACAACTGTTGTGCTGACCCTTTTCCATCTTACATAGCTTTATTACACACCTATCGATTCAAATAAAAACTGCCTTGGTAAATTAACTCGACAGTCGCTATATACATACACA